AAAGAAGGGTGGACCCATGTCCTTGCTTTGGGCTATGTCTGGCTGGGCCTCATGAGTAGAGACCTGGCCACCAGATGCTTGCCAGTGAGCTCCCCCCCAGGCCTAGCACCAGGACTGGACCCTGGTCTCCCCAATCCAAGTAGGGTCACATGATCTTTTATGTCGATCTTCATAGGGGGTCTAATGTGAACTGCTCTTTGTCTGGCCACTCACCTAGGACCAATTTGCCTTGGGAGATCCTACCAGCATCAACAGCCCCTGACAACATAGCTCCTAGGATCATAGAAGCACACAAACCCCACCACCACAATAAGGTGGTGATTCAGTACTGAGAACTCTTCTTCAGCATTACTGTGCATCACAGTTATTCAATTATTGTCCTGGTTTTCTTTTCCTAGTTGGGCCCTGAACCACCTGATTCAACTAATTGCCTTGATTAAATCCATTTAACTCTCTGCCTGAGCCCTTAATGTTATAATGAGAACTGGAAAACTTTCTGGGCTCAGTTCTATAAGACTGTAATTGAATGATAAATGATGTACTTGAATTTTTCTCAGTTCTACATTACATTATTTTAATCTGAATTTCCTCACTGCGTAACTCCATATTTAACATCACAGGGACGTGACGGGGTGTGCTTCTATTTTGACAAAATCAAAGAGGAAGAACAGCTGTGAGGAAGAGTTTGAGTTCAGTAGCAGAGAAAAAAATGAAGAAGTGTTTGTGTTCCTTCAGCTGCCCACACAGGCTAGTGATACAGGCTAGTGATACACTGTCATAATTACCCACTGGCCACTCTGTTAGGTACACCTTGCAAGTACCGGGTTTTTCTTTATCGATCAATTCTCTGCAAACCCTAGAGATGGTTATTTGTGAAAATTCCAGTAGATTAGCAGTTTCTGAAATACTCATACCAGCCTGTCTGGCACCAGCAATTATGCCATATTCAAATTCACTTAAATCACCTTTCTTCCCCATTCTGGTGCTTGAGGTGAACATTAACTGAAGCTCCTGACCTGTATCTACAGTATATTGTATATGTTGTGCTGCTGACATATGATTGGCTGATCAGAGATTTGCTTCAATGAGCAGTTGAACAGGTTGGCGGGACGTGGCGGGAGTAGCAGCCAGAATTCGTACTAGGCGGAATTGGTGCGCAGAACAAAATTTGATGTTGTGGGAGCCCAACAAACACAATTTAGACTTACAGTCCTCTTCGTTCTTATGTCTGAAAGTTTGTAAGTTGAAAGTTCGTAAGTAGAGGAGCGTCTGTATTTTAAAACTATTACATCAATCCCACCATTGGTCTCCTCCATAACAAAAGACACTTGTACCACTGGCTTAATTTCCCTGGATAGTGTGCAGGAGTCACTGACTGACACACCCAGGGCAGAGAAAGTAGTTAACTTGATTCCACACGCAGCCCTGTGGGCGTCCAGTCAACTTTGCTGTAGGGCAGATGACAGGAGCCTCACAAGGCACAAAGGCACAAAGTAAAATTACGGCTCAGGTATTTCATGGGAAGTGGGGATCTGGCAACCCTACCGATATGTTGGGGGTGAGGGGGGTCCCGCTCTGTACAATTTACAAATATCAGGGGGGTTTGGGGGGGAGTGGGGACTGAAAAGGTGCCTCCTTCAACCAATTCACCCTATTTCGGAAATCTATGGACACATGCACACATATGCCCCTGCCAATAAATACTGTAGGTACATATATATGCAGTCCACACCTTAATAATACATACACACGCTCGATAATAACAAACATCCCTATGACATTTAGAAAGTCGTTATACATTTTGTGGTTTTCGTGAATTTTTCCAAAAATGGGGAGAATAAAAAACAGAAGTTCATGTCGTGACTGTATTAATAAACTCATATACATGTCATTTTGTTTGAACTAGATCTTGACCTCCTCTGTTGGTGGCCCTGTGACCGGGATAAACAAAGACATCCATTCTTGCAGCAACCTGCCTGAAGTAGGGCAGAAGTAAAATGTAGAACAGATTGAAAAATTACTACTGATTATTGACTTATAATTAAATTCCTGAAAATTAATCTGCAGTCAGAACACACAAAGTCAAAAAGCACAGAAAAAGCGCAGGGACAGGATTCAAACCCCCATCACTAGAGATACGAGGTCACAATTATACCCACTGCACATCTAATCTCCCTGCTTTTTGTATTAAATATTAAAATATTTATAACACAATGGTATTTTAGTTTCTGTGGGAGATGGGATCTGCTCCTCTGAAGAAAAAGGATATTCTGCTGGAAAAAAAAAAGCCATCAAGAAGATCTCCTTGGCACCACAAATAAATACACAAATAAAGATATACAAACAAGCTAGGGCCTGTATCACCAAGCTGGATATTTTTTGTTAGCAAGATAATGTGTCAGATTTAGGACATACTCATGCTTGGCCAGGTTGCCTTGTACAGTACCCAAGCATGATTGTCTCCACTCCCCCACTGGTCTGCACTTAACATTCCGAGCCCAAACACACTTTTGTCAACGGTTTGCAACGTTTTGTTGTGGAAACATAGTACGAATAGTGCTATCACACAGCACAATGGAGATCACCACAGTCCTCAGATTTATTGAGTATGCAACACAGCGATTTCCATGGAGTATAAGAAGATAGTTCCATATTTTACCCAATATGTTCCTTCCTGGTCCAGTTCATTATAGTGTATACTGTATGTGTGCATGCCTGTGCCAGTTGCATCATTGATGTCATGTCTGTGGTCCATTAGGCACAGTTAGTGAACACACTAGATCTTGCCAGAGTCAAACTGAATCGTGCTCTGGCCCACCTCTTCAACTGAGCGTGGTTCAGCATACTGTGCCAGGGCATTTAAACCAGGGTACCTTAAACCTGACAAGTTACGGTATCTTGCTAATCAACAAATCTCGCTTCAGGATACAGGCCCCTACTTGTCTGTTATCACTTAATCTGAGAAACAGTTTGCTCATTTCAACCCAACCTTAAAGTAAGTAACTGAAGAAACTTATTTGCAGAGCTACTTCTTGGTATTGATCCAAGGAAAACAGTTAGCATGCAGCGGTCCTGTGATATAGCCTATAAAAGACATCAAACACGGTGATTCTTGTCTACTCACAGCCTCATGGAAATTATGACCAATCTAGAAGGAGCTCGAGTATCTAGCAGATTGAGAGAAGAATGTTTTGCACTACCTTCTGGGCCCTACAAATTTATAAGGATACCACATGGGCTTTATGAAGCACCAAAATATTTTTTAAATATGCTACAGATGTGCTTAGGTTACCAGATGAATAAATTTCATTGATACATTTAGTCATTGTTATTTTATATATTTCAAAATCCAGGTGGAAGGTATATGGAATTGTGGAGAATTAAGGAAATTATACACCAGAAAACTTGCACAATTGGTTAGAGTAAAGTATACCTTGCCAAAGAGATGATACGTACCTCTCTTACAGCTAACTAGTACAGCTAGAACTAGGACAGTGGAGTGAGAACAAGTCATTACCTAGCAGTAGTCAGCTTTGTTGTAATATTACTCAATGAGTGGACAGTGTACTCAAGGAAGGTAAAATATCAATCTCCTCCATAAACAAACACTCCACAATCATGAAAAAATACTGAGCAGTTTCTAAATAATACTAGAGTAATCCTTCAGGCAAAACTACGCATAAGCTCAAATGCATTTTTTGATAAGCAATGCGGCTGTCTATGTATTTTTGTTTAACGGGTTTCCGGCTTTTCCAGGGCTGAATACAAATCAGTCATGAAATTAAACACAGCCACTCACTCTCACAAATTCCACTGGTGCCCGGCAATAACCAACTATCATTAAATCTCATAAATCATTATTGAATTTTTTTAGCCACAACCTTTATCACCCAGCTTCCAGATGCCAACCACTTTTTAAATATAATTTTCCCTGCCTGAATCCCATCCATTCCATGGGTCAGCAGAGCACCAAAGTCCAAAAGTCTTACTGTCAGCAGTTGTATTACTCGGTACGCAGAATGTGGTGCACCTATATGCCAGGACAAACATCTGCAGAGTCATCCATGAATGACTACTGTACCAGTCATTAAGTAGCAAGTGTGTTGTGTTACGTTGATAACAGCCGGCTTAAATGGGCACCCAGAAGTCTCTAAATCCCCATTTTCAGCAAAGCTGATAAGCAAATAAGCTTGACATCGTTGTGCCCAATGTATGACACTTAAAATTTGTCCTCAAATGAATGTTCCAATGGTGTGACATCGAAAATGTGCAGTTGCTAGGTTGTCATCCCCTCAGAAAATGGCAGTGTAGGTGGCAGCCTGTGTAGCCCATTGGGTTGAACAATTCTGTGCACAGTAGAGACCAAATTGAATATAATTGTATAACCTTCGAAACCGGACAAGAAAAATTAGGATTTTACATATTTAAACCAGATGATTAAACCTAGTATTTAGGAATCCGAAGATTTTTTTATATCGTTTTTTATATAAAAAGGTTAAAGATGGAAAATATATTCCCTGTATGTCATGTCTAGATTAGATTACATTAGATAACATTAGATTAGATTAGATTAGATTAGATTAAGGCTGCGTCCTTTGGAGGTTTTAAAGCAGGGGTCTCCAACTCCGGTCCTGAAGAGATACTATCCAGTACCTTTTCTATCCCACTTGGCTTCTGATGAGCCACACCTGCTCCTGGTATTTACCCGAGAACTAGTGTGGTTCATCAGAAGCCAGGTAGGATAGAAAACCGACTGGATAGTAGCTCTCCGGGACCGGAGTTGGAGACCCCTGTTTTAACCTCCCGGGCTTTTGTTTGGTGTGCATGTTTTATTTCCTTTAGCTATTTCGGATTAGTAGGACTTCATAATCATAAAAACCAAACATATTTTTTTTGAACAATTAATAGTTTTAAACTAAAAATGATGTCCTTATATGAGGACGTAGGGTCTCAAGAGGTTAAAGCGTGAAAAGCGCGGGAAACGAGAATGGGCTGAGGGCTCGTCGCTAAGCGGAAGCGCGTGCACGGACGCTGCGGGTTGTGGCTAACAGGAGTAACAGGGGGCTCGTGCAATTGGGGCTCGAGCGCTGGTTATTCAGGGTAGTTAAATTGAATCCGAGACGATATTAAGGTTTAATGGTTTAACTACCTGACACCTTTCCTGAATGTCTGTAGTTGACAAATTAAGTCTCAAGGTAAAATACGATTTAAAGTCCGAGTTTATCTAAACTATTACTAAATGTAACACTGTTAAAGAAATAGAATGACAATAATCTCTTATAAGAACAAAAAACAGGTTGATTTCCAGACTAGTAACGTTTTTGGTCAGACCGATAATCCTAATAGTGAATTAAACGGCTTTGATGGCTACGCTATTGTTTTCGCTTTACTAACAACCGCTGTTTGTGATCTTCAACTATAGCTATTGAACTGTAGCTATTCGGCGAGTTTTCCGAGTTAAAACTTAAGAGCATAAATTGAAAATAAATCGTATTCCAGGTTAAATTTTCTCGGCTATATGTTAGCTAATCACGGTTTCTGTTTTTTTGTTCGTAATTTAAAGTATTGAAATGTTTTATTTTGAAAAGATAAGTATATGATTGAGTATGGAGTCGGAGGCTAGCTTTCATTTGGTTAATTTAAGATTACTTAAATTATTAGCTATTCCTCTTGAACAAGTACCATCTTGTACCATAAGCAGCCTATAAACGGGGTGTTTTGTTAGTTTGACCGATTCTGCTGGTAAATGGCTTTGGCTAGATATGTACAACTGTTCAGTCAGTCTGTGTTCAGTGTAATGAAGAATCAATTTCTTGGTGTATTTTTTTTATGCCCCCCATCCACTCAAGTTATGAAGAGGAGAAAAGTTTTTAATTCAGAAATTGCAACAAGGAAAAGACCCAAAACTAAGACCTTCTCCAAGGATGGTCAGTTGATACCGCCAGTGAAAGGACTGTCCAAAGCTGAGGTATACAACAGTATCAGTGTTGGAATTACAAAACAGGATATCAAAGACCTTTAAAGCCATTTGTGTGTGGATATTTTCTACTATTTTTACAGATTCAAGACCTGATACAGAAAGAAATTCTTGCAAAACTGAAACAGTCAGATGAAAAGATGGATGAACTCATTGGAAGGATCCAAAAAATTGAGTGCATTTCCAGTTATGAGGGAAGGCTTTACAAACTCCAAGTTAGTAACTGTCTGGAATTAAATTCAGCTTTTCTTTGTCCCAAATCTATACATGAGACTCTTCAAATGTAAGTATTTTGAAGACTTCTAGACAGTGTAGAGCAGATTGGTGTATGGCTAACTACTGTAGGAATATGATGTTAGGGATGTTATGGTGTGAGGATTATAGAGTGACATGATTGAACTGCCTGCACACCTCAACAAATTGCTTAATTCGAGTTGCAATAGGAAACCAAACTAAATTTGAAATTCATGTTGGTTGCTTTGCATGAAATTTCTCTCCGTGCAAATGATATAACGTGATGCATTCATTAATATAATAAACACTTGAGCAGCTAAAGCCATTCTCCAGTTTAATGAATTTGGACTCTATGGTAGCATAAAACCTGTCAAGTAAATTTTTATATGGCTGTTTATGTATAAAGTCTCATATGTATGTTTTGTTGTTGCAAGTATGTAATATTGCATATGTATTACTACTATGTGAATGTATTACTGTGTTGTAGAGCCCTATTCCTTTATATATGGGATAATATGTGCAATGGCTTGGCTGACTACTTTCATTTTAACCAGTCCCATAAGAGCATTGACCTATTGATTGGTTACTGGTTTGCTTTTTTTGTGGCATAACATTGCCATCATAGTTGACTTTTATAGGCCTGCGGTTTGTGAAACCGTTAACAATGTATTCTTGAGTTAAAATGTGCAGGTCTTTCAAGGAGTATTGGGAAAACAAAATGTATGGTCCTAAATTGTTTAGGTTGATGACATCTCTCTAAGGTGTCTCTGCCTGCTAAAATATGAAAACATCAGATACTCTCGACATTATTACATTAATGTTGTTTTTGCTGTTAGGGTCTGCAGCATATGAGTTTAGAAATGAATCCGGATTATTAATGCTGTTTCTTTTATATATTTGGAAAATTTACATTTTCTGCCCTCCCAAATGTCTTGTTTCCAGGCAGACATTAAGAAGATAAAAAGGAGGGGGCAGGCTGCTTTGGTATACATGAGAAAACTGCAACCATCAGGGACAGAAATGTCACCCGAAGAACTCAATCAGGTTGTTCATTAAACAAGAAGCTGCCTTGTCCTCGCTTAAGTGTTGAATGCAAAAGCTGGCTATAATCTCATCCAGCCATTGAGAAATATGGTATTGATATTCAATTGAGGCATTCATAAGATTTATGAACATATAATACGCTGCACGGTGCTTATCCTGTTCACTGAGCCTTTCGAGCACGTTCTGGGGCCGTGGGCTCACAGAACTCTCTTTTTTTTTTTATTTTAGAGGGCTTCCTTCAGCAGTATGGGTTCCGAGCTATCATATATTATGGATTCAGCAGCCTCTGTGCATGTGCCACCTGGGCCTGTTCCTTCTGAGACTACGGTCAGCAACCACACAGATGTGGTCTCTTCCACAAGGTAGGCCTGTTTCATTCGTTTGTCTGATTATTTTTGTCATGAGACTTGTGGTGATTCTGTATTCATGTATGCAAGTTACGAGCATTCTCCAAACAGTCACTAAACAACAAATGATATTGCATTTATGTGCATTTAATTCTGTTTCTGTTTTTACATCTGCAAAAATATCTCTCTTCGACCAGAATTAACACAGACAGCCTTATAGTCAATGAAGAGTCTAAGCCCTGTGACCGTGTAGGTGCAGGGAGCACCACTTCAGAGGTTGGGGTCTCTGAAGATGGGAGGCTTTTTGCATTCCTTTTTCCTATTTTCATTAATTACACATTTCCACAGGATCACAGTGAGTAAGGAACAGGAAAGAACAGGGAATACACCCTGTCCAAGAAACTGCTCCACTGCAGGCTATGATGAAACACACACACACATGCATATACTCACAGGCTAATTCCGCTTTACGCTTTCCGGTTTACACCAGTTCTTAAGAGTGTGCTAAGAAGCCAAGTGTGCCAAGTAAACACGCCCTCATTTGGAGAGGAAATTTACAGGCAGAGCTGCAGTGCAATTCAAACAGGCAGTGCTACCCACGGCGCTGCCACACCACCCCGTCAATTTTACGTTTGTGCATTTAGAGCTTTCAACAGAATTACCCTGGTAATTCCTCCTCTCTTTAACCCACTGCTGGGAGGTAATACACAGATAAACACAATACTGTTGCTCCTTCATTTTTTTGTAATCTAAAAACTCAAATATGAAATCAACAGGCACTTACCGATTTAGTATTTGATTCCCAGAATTCCCAGCCTTGGAGCTGTCCACCCTCTTCACAGCTCTGCCAGTGAATGTTGGCTGGCACACAGCTTCATTCATCCCATTTCCTGATTTAGAAAGCAGCACACGTTTAGTTCCCGAATGGGCCAGTACTTCCAGGTCCCAGTCATTAGCCGCCTCTCTGAGTTCCTGGGCTGGTGGCCGAATAATCACTTCGAATCTGCGATATTTAAAAATGCCGCATGTTCCACCCGCTAACACCCAGTGAAACTGCTGAGCGTGCTCGACTCGCTGACAGTTGTCATCTTTCATTGGGAGAGCACAGGGAGCCTAAAAGCGTACATTTTACAGGAATCCATAAATGGTCAAGACAAGCCAGCTTGTCAAACTGATTTTACGTGAAGAAAAGCTGTCATCATTTTGTGTCTCCAGCTGATATAGTGGTGTATTTTATTTTTTCATTCTGCTAAAGAGTGAGACATGGGGCCTCAGAAGAAAAAGGCAGATTTTGAAAATTAGCATTTTTAAACATACTAAACCCACATTTTTTACCCCAAAAATTTGTTTGCATTTTCAGTTACCAGCTATTCCATGGAATATCCATTTATGTATTTGATTTATATTTTCTTGTTCAACTACCTGATGTGCAATACAAACAATTATATTGTAGCAGCTGGTTCGGATGAACAAATAAGGCTACTTTTCTATCCATTTGCAGGATCCACAGGAGCAGTTAAGTTTTACAAATTCAGTGTACATTTGAGAAATCCCTGAGATAAGGATTTACCCTGAAACTTTGTCTAATATTCACAATGTGAAGGTTTGGCTTGTGTTTTCTTATTAACAGGAGTAAGAACAAATATCAATATCTTCACACAGGATCCCAAGTGATACCAAATGTCTTACTGAAAGATTTTGCAATTTTCACAGCTTTTTTCTTAATGTTTCACTTTTTCCTTCAGAAAAAAAACTAAATAAAATCCACACAACTGGATAATTCTTACAAGGTTTGTTTCCAATAAGCCAGTGCAGCATTGTGAGACTGTCTCTGTGGAATGTAAAGCTTTGTTTTGCTTGACCTTCAGGATTTTTTTCCTTGGCCTTGGGCTATGCAGTTTTGCTCCTGTGAACCAGAGTGGCAATAAACAGCCGTCTGCTCTTTTTCTGAGAAAGTTTCATTGTGTAATAGAAGGAGTGGAAGCACTCCTTGAAAACATTCCAGAGGTATGAAACGCACCGTGTCAGCAATGGAGTGGAGAATATCCTGAGAATGCCCGGATCCCTTTCTAATTGTGTGCCTTTTGTTCCTTTCTTTCCATAACAAATTAGGCACCTCTTAATTTGTGGTAGAAATGGCGTTAAAGAAAATTCTTTTGGGAGGACTTAAGACTTGAAACTGTTCCATTTCAGCTTGGATGATCAAAGTTCTCTTAAAAGAATCAAAACACCCAGTTTATGGTTGTTTATTTTTTATCAAAGAGCCTAGCCTAAGAATCATAAGCATTACAGAAAAGTGTTGAGTACTTTAAGAAAACATTCTTAAGTGTTGTTAATGAGTGATTTTCTTTAGGCCGAGTGTGCTTACCATTTATAAGTGCCTTCGGATAACAAAATGACATCTTGGCAATTTGGTGGAAGCATCTTTTAAACTACACCAAAAGTTAAACAGAAGCCCTAACCAGGCTGCATTTGAGGATGAATCGGTGTCTCTTCTTTGTGCCCTGACTGTACATCTCTAGCAGAAAAAATAGCCATGTTCGGTTTTGACACTGAAGCACTCATGCCCAGCAGGGACTGCCTTATCACTTGCATTGATGGGCCATGCACCTTGGAAATGATTAAGGTCAGCCAACCAAAAGGGCCTTTATCTACTTCACAGGTTTCTGTCCTCACTTGATACCTGAGAGAAAATGTTTAATGTAATATCAAATGCCCTTTGAAGCTGAACAGCAGCTTTAAGTGTCAAGTCCACTAATTCTTCAGAAATATGTCGCACAGCACTTTCTACTCTGTGAAAGCTGATCAGTGCCATCTAGTGCTTTCAATAGGTATTTCTGCAGTTCATAGGTTTTTTTTTTTTTAACATTTATTCATTTCTTAATACTGAATTTGTTTATGGATAGTTTCATTCAGTAACCATTTTTATCCATTTTACTGACTTCAAAGTTCCCTATTCTTACTTAATGGTAGGTTATGCTTTGTTGGAGCACCATCTCAACCTGTGTGCAGACCCCAAAGTTTGTGAGTGTGAAGTGTCTGCTTTTCACCTACCTCTAACCTCGAGATGTATAACTGTTCCAAACTCTAACTTTCGGGATTGATTATTCCAGTGAGACTCAGTCCAACACTCAAGGCTGTGCAGAAGTCCAGGAAGGTACGTTCTGGCCATGTTTCAAAAACTACACGAAATGATTAAGATTAATCCTCAAAATGTTTTTCTTTTGAAACCTGTTCTGAGGTGGCTCAGGCTCCAGGTCATATTTTCTGTAAAATGATCATGGTTTTGTTTGTGTATTTGAAAAGCCCTAAATTATAGGCGTTACTTGTCATTTCCTCTCTCCCCTCTCAAGACAAAACATTTTTCATTCTAGATACGTTTGCAGCTCTTGATTCATTTGTGTTCAAGTGAAGTCCACATTGATTTTTAATATGGGCAATAGAAATACAACAGCCTTCCTTTTTTCTTCAGAAGCTGATGAGGTGATATTTTGCGGGGTCATGTTGCCTAAGAAGAGCACTGTTGAAGGATCTTGCCAGAAGCAGGTATTTATCTGTGCCCTACATACTGCCCAGCCCTCCAGAAGATAGACAGTGTCGTGTCATTGTGAGTTATGGTCACTGGGGATTAGCTCTCCTTCCTTCTTTTTCTAAGCTCAAAGGGAATCCTACAGTTGATCTCACATCTGAAAGCAAAGAGGACACAGCGGGTAATGTTGACGTCCACAGTCCCATCATGTCCTAAATGCGTAAAATCTGTGCTCCAGTTTGCTGAGAATTTATATCGCTGTGATCTGTTTTGGTTGTATATTTATCACCATGTAGCAGCACTGAACTCAAGCAGGGAAGGTAACGACACAGCAGTTGGCCCATCCCAAATGCAGGTACTCTTCCGTTTCAGGCTTTGAGATTAAAGCCAGTCATGGGTCTCAAGGGTGATGTCAGATGTGGGTAATTTCTTAACTCAGGGGACTATGGCATCTGTGGCTTTGAATAAAAAGGCAGTTCGACCTACTTTACCACCCCTCTTTCTGGTAAGACTTTACTATGCAATCCACCCTTTACTGCTGAATACAATCAATATATATATAAAGTCTCCAATGGAAAGGGAAAGCATGACTTTATTCCATTCCCTCCATGAATCCATCAGTCTTTAAATGGAGTCGCATACAAGATACAGCTGTTTCCCAGCAGAGGTAGACATTTCCAGTCCAGAAAGTAAAAATCCAAACCAAAATTTAGTTTCAGTTGAGTATAAAGATTCAGTCACAGCATACCTAACTGGTTGGTTAAAACAAAATCTTGGTCTGGATTTTTTCATTTCTGGATCAAAAATGTCTACCTCTGTTTCCCATTGGGTAAAATAATTCTGAAGCCACCCTCCGGTGTAGTAACAGGGCCGGACCACCTTGTTCCAAATATGGGTATGGAATCGGTACAGGTAGCACTTTGACAGTTAAGGTAGTTGAGTAATTTGACAGCACAGTGTTGTAGAGGTGAAGAAGATGTGATTTTTATACTTCTGAGGTGGGTACCATGCCAGATTGGGTGCAGCACGGTGGTGGGCCGTTTAAGAAGATGGAGTTGTGATTTTCACACCTCTGAGCAGGGATTTCAGGACTGAATCCTGTAAAAAGAATGGCAGAATCTGAAGTGAAGCAATGTCACATTGGGCCAAAGGGTCTGAAGCAGTGCAGTGGCAGCTCTTAAGAAAACACAGAGGTAGTGGGACAAGAACAGGACTGCTGGTGCCATAGCTTCCTTTGGCATTGTGATCACTCTGCAGATTTCTCCCTTCTCACAGAACCCTACATCCTGTCATGCCCACGCAGCCGGTGCGCTGGTACCCATGCAGGCTGACTGCCGTGCCATCGTCCAAGGTGATGCAATTTCACTCCATTTTTGTTTTTTTCTTCTTCTCTGCCTTCCCAGGCCTTGAAAAATACAGAAAGTATTCATTCAGGAGCAGGAATGCTCAGACAAAGTACACCGGAACCTCCTCCTCGTTGGAGTCATGCTGAGGTAATGGCCGGTCAGCCCGCATGAGTCAAAACCAGTCCCAGTGCCATGCCCTACGGCTGTAAAATTCTCTTCATTTCCCACAGGGTGACTGGCTTTCACAACAGCCCCCCCTCCCTGCCATTTCGCTTCCAAACTACCTGCTGTCTGAGGCCGGCGTAACACAGCCACCTCTGAAGCTGTGTCTGGGGGTGGAGGAAATCAAAAGGCCTGAAGGTATTGGCCTGCAGTGGACCGCTATCCAGGCACAGCCCTGCACCCTTGCTGGACAATTCTTCCCTCTACTTCACCCGGACGCACAGCTGCAGCTGCTGTTCGGAGTGGAGCAACATAGAAGTGATAAAAGTCATACCTATTCTCACGACCTATAAGCTGACTTCCTTTGGCACAGGGCATCGATTCTACTCCACTAGTGTACCAAACATATATGGACGCTACAGCCTATAGGGTGAGATTCAAATAGTCAACATTTGAAATAGGGACAAGGGTCCCTGTTTTAAAAAAACAGGTTTACACCATACTATGATAATCTGTAAATGAATAAGTGTAGGATTTTTGATCGTAAGTACATGAATTGGATCTCAGCTGCAACTTTAGAGTTCGGTGTTATATGAGAGTTGTAGTGTAAGCACATGAAAATTATTTGATATGTTTAGCATTTTTGTATCCTGGGATACTTTTCAGTTTATGCTCTGAGGCATTTGAATGTCATGCAAATGTCAAACAGCTCAACGATAAGAGAATGAGCAACATTGCAGTTGTAGATTTTTTGGATTTTTTTTTTTTTTTTTTTAAAAAGTACATTGAATTGGAACAATCCACATTATACCAAAGGTGGTGTCCCATATCATCCACTGAAGATCCTGAGAGCTGGAGCTTAGTGATTTTATCACATTGCAAAAACCCAGACTGGTGTTAGGCTGATGTAACACAAAACCATTTAATTAGCATACAATAAAGAGAGCGATGGCATTTTGAAATAATACTTACAAAAATATCAACAGTGAAACAATTCATAGAAGTCTACAAAATAAATACAGTTCTGTTGTTTTCCCCAATTGAAGATTTTTGTGTGTTTATATAAACTTTATGAACTTTGCTACCTCATTGTTCATAATTTAACACTTAATATGTATTTTTCAAAATGTTGTGGGCCATTATGTTGGTGTATATATATTAGGTATGATTCACATTTTTACAAACCATAACCAAAAGGCCTCAAAGGAATGTTTTAAATGTAATATTAATTTAAAACAATTGTAATTATTCTGCTGCATCTTGAGTTATAATTAAAAATAGAAATAACATAAAACATGCAATAATCTAATTAAACAAAACAATGAAAATGCCAATTGTAAGTTCTGGTTGGGTACCTGGTAAAGTTAAATTATAATATTCACTTTCAAGTACATTCTACTGCTGTACATATTGCAGCACAAATTTGATTCAATATTTCCTTGAATATTTAGGCCTGCGGTGGTCTTGGCCAATTCTTCAACACGAGCAAATGTGGCATAAGTGGATCTCTGCTGAAATGGAAATGTTGATCCAAGACTTGATATGACCAGAGCCTTCATTTCACTGGGAAAACATTTTACTGTTTTGTGGTTTGAAACATATGTCTGATTCCACACATAATCTTTATACCCAAGTAGATCTGTTTTATTTCATTTTTCAAGTCTGCACATGCCTCAGCCTTGTACGCCCTTTGAAGTCACAGCATGTTTTCACCGTCAAAAGGGTTAAATAATATATTGAAGACAAAAAAAGGTTAAAAATTCTACATTATAATACCATTCCTCATTTTAATATGCTTCCAGTATGGTGTTTTTAATATAGTTTTTCAGTCTTAGTACTGCTTATTTTGACATTGTAACATTTCATCATACAAAAATTAGTATGTACAAAATATATTCCTTTGCTCAAGGCGTCCACTAACTGCAGCTGGGTATTTGTGGATGGGGTGTTGACTGGTGGCCTATTTGCGTTTCCTCAGGACTAGATACATCACGCCGCTGATGAGGATTAGTGGGAAGGCAATCCAAGCAATGACGAAGGCGTAGCCATAGTCCCCATTGGCGAATCCCTGTTTCTGGAAGCCTCTGTGCTCGGCCGTGTAAATCGAGGCCCCAATCATGACGCAGAAGGCTTGGGTGGAAACAGAGGTGTATGTCCACAGGTCAGCACATCAAATTAGTGTAATTTCATCTATGAAGTAATGCATTCCAGCAGTGGGCTGATTAATTATAGCTTGACTTAAAGTGATTTTGAATTTGAAAGGTCTGATTTAAATAAAAATGACTTTTTAAAATAGTCTTTCATGCAAAAAAGTCAAACCAAGAACTCAAAAATAGCTGACCATTGCTTTTGTAAGTTATGATTTTCAGGGCAGCGGTTTTCCTGGTTTATTTTTTTGAGCCTTCTTGACATTAGGGGGTGGGACTTACCTGAAAGTAGCTGAATGATGGCGGTAAAGACAAATCTCTCTCCTTGCTTCAGTCGGAAAAGCTGCAGGATGAACACAAAGAACCCCACGCAGCAGAGGATGGTGGCTAGTATCATGGTTGCTTGGACAGCCTGAAGGTAGGCTGTGGAGAAAGGAGATAGCTGAGTGATGGCGTATGCACTGAACCTTAGGAAAGCCATGCTCGTGTTTTTATAATGCCTATTTGTTTAAAAAAAAAAGTCTTACAGTAAAAAAAGAAACACAGTAACATTCAAACTGACCAGGACAAAGACCCATTAGAGTTACCTGCATCTGTGGATTCGCTATTTTCTGTGGGCCTGCATGTATCATTGCAAGTGTACCACAGGTCCATGGAAAATGTTCCCGATACCCACCAGGCCTAAAAGACAATCAGATAAAGTGTATACAGACTAGCCTTGTACAGTCAGGTAAAGAATTGTTCTGGAATAAACAGACTTAAGTCATTAGTGCTTGTCAACTTACATTGTTTAAAGTCGATATGAAGAGTAACACTGCAGCAGTTATGTGGAACAGAATGATGAAGGCCAATATTATCAACATTGTTACCAAGTGGCTGGTGATCAAGACACAGAATCTGTGAAATGAAAGGGATAAATATGAGTTACCCGTGAAACAACAGTTCCGTCAATGGGCGGTATTAAGAAGTCTTTTCTTGAAGGCTGTATTCCACAAAACTTTTTTTTTTTTTTTTACCTCATATGTCATATATTGAGTACAGACCTGCATAATACTTTACACACCATTTTTATACTACAATATTGCTATTTTAAGGGATTTCTACAAGTAAGTTGATGATAGTTCATCTTACAAGCCAAAGTACCCAAAGTTATATAATTCCAGAAAAACTACAGAATCCACCTATGCATTCATCCCTTTTGCATACCCACTTATCCAGTAAAGGGTCACAATGGGCCTGATGCCTTACCCTAGCAAGCACAGAGCATGAGTCAAAAGGAAACCTGGACAGAATGCCAGTCCATTATAGAGCAAATTTGCTTTATATTCACAACAGTGATATTAGTTAGCTAGCTATTCATCTATTTCATTAATATTAAACTGTTAATTCGTGATATAACTATGACCATCATGAATTCAAATGTTAATTAGTACAAGCATAAATACTAGTTATACAGACAACCTCCTAAACCATCTTTTCATTGCTCAGTTAGATGTCACACACTATCAGTAGTCAGAGGAGAATTGCCGTATTCCATCTATAGTTAAAAATCGTCAAAAAGTGAACAGCAACAATATATTGCAGGGTTTTCCGATTCCATTCCTAGGGCCCAGAATTCAACACAGTTTGCAGATATCCCTGCCCAAACATATCTTAATCAGCAAAATACAAGGTTTAGTAGGTGTGTCGGAGTAGGGAAATCTGCAAATTGTGTTCTAAACTGGCTCTTCAGGAATTTGAATTGATATATTGAAACAATTTGATAGCAAAACAACATTACTTCTTAGTACACTATGAGGATACTCACATTTGGCCAGGTTGCCTTGTACTGTGCCCAAGCACGATTGTCCCCCTTCCCCCCTCCCCTGCTGGTCTGTGCTCACATTGCACTTAACATTCCGGGCTTGAGCACACTTTCATCATCACCATGCGACTTTTTGTGCTTCAGAAAACATGGAAGAAAAGCGCTACCACACAGCACACTGGAGTTCATGATTCATATCTTTATGTTGTGGCGTATTTGGAGTTGTTTTGGGCGTGATGACATATGACACTCGAAGATTTACTGAGTACGCAACATAGAAATTTTCACTTAATCATACTGCACATAAGAAGATAGTCCCATATTTTACCAAGTATCTCGCCGTTTTTATGTGCTGCATCCAGCAGTTCCTGGATGCTTGTCAGCCCAAGTGTCCAGAAAACAGTGCACCTCTGCCATTGACAAAATGATTCATAAGAACATAAGAACTATACAAACGAGAGGAGACCATTCGGCCCATCAAGCTCGCTTGGGGAGAACTTAACTAATAGCTCAGAGTTGTTAAAATCTTATCTAGCTCTGATTTAAAGGAACCCAAGGATTCAGCTTGCACTACGTTATCAGGAAGACTATTCCATACTCTGACTACACGCTGTGTAAAGAAGTGCTTCCTTAAATCCAGTTTGAAATGTTCTCCCGCTAATTTTCACCTATGGCCACGAGTTCTTGTATTTGAACTAATGCTGAAGTAACTATTCGGTTGAACAGCATCCAAACCTGTTAGAATCTTATAGACCTGGATCATGTCCCCCCTGTCTCCTTTGCTTGAGGCTGAACAGATTTAGCTCAACTAACCTTTCCTCGTATGACATTCCTCTAAGACCAGGAATCATTCTTGTGGCCCTACGCTGCACCTTTTCTAAGGCCGCAATGTCCTTTTTAAGATATGGTGACCAAACCTGCACACAATATTCTAGGTGAGGTCTCACCAAGGAATTGTATAATCTTAGCATTACCTCCCTTGACTTAAACTCCATACACCTGGAGATATACCCCAACATCCTATTGGCCTTTTTTATTGCTTCCCCGCACTGGCGAGAATGAGACATGGAAGCATCAACATACACACCAAGGTCTTTCTCATAATCAGCTACCTTTATTTCAGTAGGTCCCATAAAATACCTGTACTTTATATTTCTGCTCCCTACATGGAGTACCTTACATTTGTCTATGTTAAATTTCATCTGCCAGGTATCGGGCCAATTAAATCAAGATCCCGCTGCAGCTGCTGAGCCGCTAGTTCAGTATCTGCTACACCACCCACCTTGGTGTCATCTGCAAATTTCACCAGTTTACTGTATATATTGGTGTCTATATCATTTATGTAAATTAGGAACAATAGCGTTCCTAAAATTGAACCCTGCGGTACCCCACTATGAACACAGGCCCACTGTGACATTGTGCCTCTTATAACTACTCGCTGCTTCCTATCTGTTAACCAGTTATCAATCCAGGTTGCTACAGTTCCTAAAATACCTGTCGCTTTGAGTTTAAGTAAGAGCCTCTTGGAAATCTAAGTAGATGACATCATAGGCCTTCTTATCATCAACCCCCGGCACCCGTGATATTAGACAAAAGTATACTGGTTAGCATTCAAATTTTCTGATGCAGAAATATGGAGATGCAAGCAAAAAAATTATTAATTGATGCATTAAATAAGGGTACAAAAAAAATCCCATCTGCTCAATTTTTGCTCTGCTACATCTTCTTCTGCACTTCCACGTAACTTCCAAGTTAGCGTTGGTGCTTGAGGTCAACCAATTGGCAAGTTATCGCTGTTCGTTTATGTTCGAACAAAAAGTACCTAGTGTGGAGCAGGTACTGGAAAAGGGTTCTGCAACTGCCTCTGATGAAGTACAATCAGATGGAGTTCCTGTCACACCCCACTTGGCTGCTCCTTCCGTGTGCCATGCCCCCTCATCTACCCCATGTGGATTCCCATCATTATTGTTTCAGACTTAGCTATTAGTGCACACATAGATCACACTGGTTTTATATCTCGTATACAAATGAATGTGGAAAGTTTCATATATGCTTTTATGAGCTGAAGGTTAGAAGCACAAACAGATGATATTGTTGTGCAAAGACTGACACACTTAGGGAGTTTTAAGTACATTTCACTATGTGCCCCCCTCCAATAAATGACTTGGACACTAGGTTGACAGTGCTCTTGAATTTGAGGGTGTGGTGGTCTGATTTAGTCTAGACATTAAGCCAAAAGGTTTTGCTCCATCAAAATCAGGAAGAGGGATTGGATAAATATTCCCTTAGGAGATACTTCTTGCTACCTATTAATCTGTCATTGAATTTTACAGTCTTCATTGATGTCTATTAGAGGCTTCCTGCCAATCTAACCACATCACGATCAAAACCCAGTTAAGTCCCCACTTGTACTTACTAACCCCATGTAATTAAAATGGAGAAGCACCATCTAAAAAAGTCAGAACGATTTTGTGTTCATGTCATTTGATGGTTGCAGATGCTTCAGGCTGCTGTGTAAAGAGCCTAACAAATCTGTGGAATGGCATCTACAAAGTTCAAAATGCAGGCAGCTGCCCAAGAAATCAATGCCTCAACTATTTAATAATGAATCCTATAGATGCATCGTGTGCAGTTTATCTGGAAGGTACGGTAATATTTGTAGTGTGATTTTTTTGAGAGACTGACCTAGAGTATCTAGTTGTTTTATGAAATATTTCATATAAGTTACGGATTAAAATCTCTGCTAAAGAAATTATAGTGTATAATGCAACTTAGTATCTTTTCACTGATAAAGCATTTGAAAGCATACCTATTTCCCCTGTGTAAGGAAAATTAGCTAATTTTTTGTGTGAGTGACAGTTAAATCTTAGGCCACAAAATTTGACTTTGATGGCATTTCCCTGAGGTGGCTCCAGCTTGAGAAGAGAAGTCAGCAGCACAAACTTATCCCACAACACACTCACAGCAGGCCAGCCAGGCTGCAGACTGCAAGCCTGCCAACATAAAGTCAAAGGAAAACAAAACCACTTCAGCTGACAGGAAGCCACCCCCCCCTTATTTTTCCCCAGCGGGCCCCATGGAGGGCTGGCCAGTACAGATTCCAACTGTGGGGAGTGGCCTGGCAGGAGCTGCCGCTCGGGTCAGAACCTGGCTGGCTTAGAGATGGCCGCCTGCTGCACCCTCTTCCTCACCTTTGCACACTCAGACTCGAGGACCTTTTCAGCTGCCCTCAAAAAAAGGCAGATGCCTGGGAAATAGATAGTAGATGCTAGATAGGAATAGGCTACCTCAACTTGCTCATTTAGAGAAGAGAGTTTAAACTGTGAGGGATTTCCATGCAGAAATAAAGGTGCTTTATTGAATTAACTGGAATTTTAAAAGCGGATAAAAACTTCCAACCCCTCGCTCCATCCCCCCAAGCCTGAAGAAACAGTGAACTACCCTGCTGTCTTTCAGCATGTGAGGTGGGGGGTTGGTTTCCAAAACTCATGGTGTGCTGACGTCCCATTACACATATGGTTTTAATTTACTGTGGAGCTCCCTTCCTCTGCAAGAGGGAAGGAAGAGGAGGGAGAATGCGACTGTGGCGAGGAAAACACACCCGAGACGCCAAGAAACCCCAAGTCTGTTTCTCATGATAAATGAACCTTGTTCAGAATTTTAACCGGAGGTCCCTTTAAAGCAGAGGTGCCTTCAAGCTTGAACTTCTTCACATTCTCCCTGCATTCCTGCAAAGTTGCGTGAAAAATTCCTGGAAGAATTCATGTGAGGGTATTCTCTTTACATTCTGGTATACAGCTTATGCAGCAAATCAGGAAGGAAGCATCAGAAAAAACGTTATCCTGTGTGATGTCCAACCTGATTGTCTTTCGGCGTGTTTCTCAAGCTTGAAGGCAGCCTAGTCAGTGTTGTGTTGTCAAACAAGCACAAGATGTCGAAACTGGAGGTAGTGGAGGATTGCTATGAAATACAGGATTTCTTCCCTCTAAGTAACCTACCTTAGGAGGCGTCAACACATGGAAAGAACTAAACAGAATTCACAGATCTGCTTTCATATTGTAATAAGATGAAAACCAATGGCAACATTTTCTCAACGGTTTTCCTGCACTGAAAGCTCCCAAAGAATGAATTGGGACCTGATAGGGCGCCCACTCAGGTTTTTAAATATTCGCAACATAAATCCACAATTACAGATTCATCCCTCACTGCAAATTCATGATTTGCACTGCGTGATCAGCCTACACATATGTACACAAAGCCCATCCTGAAAGACGGACAGGTCGAGGCACCCTTTGTCAGATGTTGCGCACACCACTCGCATAAGAGAAGGAGGCCACACAAGATGATATGATTGCAAGCTGGTTTGTGACCTGAAACCACAAGGCTAATTCCAAGCATAACCTTAACACCATCCTACCCTAGCTGTCATCTTGACAACTTTATAGTTAGTAGGTTCAATTCCATAGTGGCAACACTGAGTTGCTTTTCTAATGACAGCAAAGACCTACCACAAGGTTCAGACATCTATGAAAGAATATTTGCTTATGAATTGCTTTGACTCTTTACAGCTGCATTTTGTTGGGTCCATTAGCCACGTGTGTGCAAACAGCTTGTGCCCAGTCCTCTCCACTCGAACGAAACTGCTGACTTGGATTTTGGAGTTTTAATGTCATTTTTTTCATAAAACAAAAGCCACAGTCTCCAGCATGCCTCAAAATGTTTCCAAACCAGCTGCTGCTGACAACACAGCAGTCGTGGAACAAATGATCAAGACGAGGGAAAATACACATCTGCCTGCATTCATATACGTAGACATAATGCCACTTCACAATGGACTGTTGTGTTATTTATCTGTCGTCTGTTGCTCCCAAAACAGATGCATTAAATTTTGACCTGAGAAAAGTGCTACATTTTCTGTAACCTCATCATCTTGCATAGACAACTACAAGTATGGGGTCTACAGCCTTATTGGCAGTAGGTTTAAAAATACTACATGCAAATAAGGAACAGTGCCTGACATCCAGACCCAGGGGCTACAGCTGAGAAATGTCAGCAGTACTGTGATTCCTAAATCCTTCCAGAGACACTTACCTGAACTTCGACCAGCTTCTGCATCTTGTGACAGTCCCTGACTAATACCTGGCATTCTACTAGCGCATCTGGAGCTCCAGAAAGGTCAGCAGCAGACAGAGTCTCTGCTGGCCTCGCACCTAGACACGTCTGTCTAAGCCTCTGTCTCTTTGGAATACCACAAGCAGCGGAGTGCCAGGATGCGGCAATAACTAAAATACATTCCTGTGCGCAAATGACTGGAAGAAATGTGGGGGGAGACAAAGAGAAACGCCCCCAAGGATAACGTCAACTGTTCTTCTCAATGCAGTTATGATGGCACCCAGGTTTTTGAAAACTGTGTAATAAGACTCTCAGACTGAAAAGTGTATTTTTCTGTACTGCCTCTCCGGGCAGCATCTATAAATATTAATAATGGGGTGGCCCGAAATCCTTGGAATAGGTACTTAAATACCTGTGAAATGCATGAAGAACACTCAATGCCTGCTATGAACAGAAACAACACTAAATTAACATTAATGCTTCACAATAATACCATTGTGTAAATGAAACTACGCCTTCAAAGTAGGAACATATTAAGTCAACATAATAGATTATATACAGTGATAATTTTGCTTCAGTCTTTATAACTGTGAGGTTTGAGGCTAGACTACTTGTCTGGAAGTATTTTTATGCACAGTCCAAAATTATACCCCTGTACAGAGTGAGAATCATGCAGATCGACTATAGGTGGCTCTATTAACCTGCCACCCCAATTTTATCACTGATTCTCTTCTTCCCAAAGTGCTATTTCCCGTGTTTACCTAGCTTTGGCTCAACCACAGTGTCATTTAAAACAAAGCTCCCTTCATTGGCAGAACTGAGTAAACGTGGTGCTGTAGGAGAACAGGCCTGGAAATCAGCGCTGCCATTTGTCTCCCCTGTTGTAGCCTTTGCCTAAAGGAGGGCACTCATAGCAGAGCTACACGCTCCAAAAACAGACCAAACAAAAAAGTTTATCCTGCTTCAATGTGTACAAAAAATGAGTTTGTCTTTTCTTGTCTGATGTGTTTACACCACCTAATCTGGCACAGTGGTATGGCCCTGCATTGTCCTCTGTGGTCACAAATAACAAAGCGGGTGCTGGTTTTATTTTTAGAGAAAACACAAAAGGCAAGTTCCTTCCTGGAGGCCATCCAACGCAGTGTTTTAGGTCTGTGGACCAAACAAAGGCATGTTTCGTATATACGTTCTACTACGAGAGGTAATCCCACCCAGTGTCAACTTTCAAGCCAGACCAGAAGGAAAGAGTAAAAAAAAAAGCACACTCCTGGAAAAAGAGGGAGGGAGAGTGCTGAATGTGATTCTTTTTGCATGAACTTCCATCTGGGTTCAGACTTTTTCAGAAGTCACCACTGCCTACTAGGTAGCAAATAGCAAGCGCAAGTATCAGTTATCTGACTTAAGAAAAAACTGAAATAAATATGAGTCAAAGTGGTGGGTGATTGTGTCAAGATTGAAGTTCTATCAAAATTCAAAGACATTCTCCAAAATATATATTTTACAAAATGATTTGGTGCTTTTTAGGAAACAATGAATAACATACAGTACTGTTTCTTGCAGTGTTTCATACAGGATACTACCCCACAAGACATATGATAAGCCACTTGTATAAGAGTATACAACATACTCTTAGTGCTTGAATAAGCGTATGTTACCATAGAATACCACCACATACAGCACTCTACTCATACAAGAGTACTCTACCACAGAGAACCATCCCACAAGGGACCCTACTCATACGAGTACTCCGTCACAAAATACTGTCTCACAGGGCACTCTAATCATGTAAGTGTACTCTACCATAGAATATCATCCCACAAGGCACTCTACTCACATAAGAATACCATAGAATACCATCCCACTGGGCACTCTACCATAAATACTCAACTATAGGGTACTTTATCATTACTCTATCTATCCATCCATCCATTATCTGCTGCTTATCCAGGTCAGAGTCATTGGGGGCAGCAGTCAGAGAAGACTATACCATTACTAACTTTGTTAACTTTTCATAAATGAACTAGATAGACTGGCGCCTCTCCCACCCTGAGGCAGCACCTGAGCCCCCAGTCCAGTGTGCACCCTTGACCTTTTCACCTGTGAGGCATTTTGCCATAAGCTGCTTATGGAAAGTGATGCCTCTGGGGGTAGGGGGTGGGGAGAGATGTCATGACCCACATGGGGTCAGAGAGGAAGTCTAAAGTGAACCCCTGGTGGATTAAGGAGCTGGGTATTTGCCCTCTGCCCTTTGGATGGCCTGTGGGACATGCTGAAGAATTCACTATGAAACATCTTCAGATGTGTGGATATTTTCTTCGTTTTCCAAATGTCACTGTATAAAAACCATGTCAAAATTGTATTGAGGTTTACTGTAAACAATAAAAAAAACAGCGTTCCTAGACAGCCTGAAGGGCTTTTATATGAGGAACATTTATAGGCAACCCGTACTATAAACCCACACTTGCTTTTGCACATCTACGGAAGACTAGACACTATTCAGCTGTTTTACGTCTAATGTGGTTTGGGAACCAGCTCTTTAAAATAAAACCTGAATCCCAGACCACTAACAAAACTGCATCGCTTCAAAAGAACAAACACACGTAATAGAGTATGCTGGGAGGACTGAATCCCCGCAGAAAGCTTCTCTGCCGGCCTGCTTCACTTTGTTACCGATTTTTTTCATCAGATCTGCTTTGTTTTGTCGTTTTATGCAAATAGCAGATTTAGCATAACAGAGCACCTCTGTGTATAATGCGGATAATGTTAAAGCCATATGGGGCTACTGAAGTGGCTGCAACCCCCCCCCCCCCTACAGCTATGGTTGCATACAGTGAGCTCAGATGACCAACCTCCCAACCACTCCTATCCAGCTTCACCTGCCAACTGAGGCCCTCCCCCAGACTCTCTCCCTGGGGGGAGAATTTTTACCTTCCTGCTTCTTCACTCAGCCAAACTCACACAAGACATCTGCAATTTATTGTCTGCCGTCCCAGGACAGATATAACCCTCCCTGACAAATCTCAGGGATTTAAGTGCTCCAGACTCTTCATCTTCCCAGGGGAGGTACACACACTCACACATCTACACCCAATATCTTAATTTGCCTTCTTTTAAAGGATGACTTTTCTTCAGATGGATATTTGTTGCATGTCAGTTCTCTGTGATGAATTAAATTAACCTAAACGTTAAAACACGATTTCCAATACCGTTATGCAGGCAGTCATGTAATAGCGTTGTCCTACACTTCATGATCATTATACATCTTCGTGGCGAAAGTGTGGAAGGCCAGCGAGCTCAAACCTCAGGTAGAACAATCTGCTTAAGTAATGAAGTCCACAGACAGCACCAGTTAGCTCGATATTAACTTTTTTCGTTACGCTTCCTTGAGCCAGGTTGTGCGTATGTTTTATTTGACAACAACCCTTGCCGCCAATTTACAACTTCAGTGTCTTAAAGTGCCTGGAGAGGAGCTGTTTTAACGGACAATATTCATACCGCTATGAGCCACTGCTAAATACATAATCCGATCATCTGTGGAGTGACTGAAATAGGACCGTGCACTTCCATCAGTTAAAAGAATTGAAAATGAATACATGGAAAAATAGAATTCTCTAAGAATTACCTCATATTCTCCCGCCCGCCACAACCGAATCTTTCCCCAATAATCGGTGCGAAAATCAACTAACGAAATTCATTGAGTCAAACAGCAGTTTATCGCAGATTACATCAATACTTGGCACGTCTTTGACCAGGCTTACGAAAGTTTCGTAAACACGGCGAGAGGTAAAGTTATACCCATAACCTGAGCTGTATTCCAATGCGACCTGCTAAACAAAAACCGATGCGATGGAGCGGCTTTTAAGTCACACACGCTGGGTTTTTCGCAGCTTTTGCTATATGAACGCGCCTGTGTGCCCCAGAACTACGCCCTCCAAACATACTGTGTTGGTGAGGGTACGTACGTGCCACGAAACGAAAATAATAATCGAGTGGCAATTCCAAGTGGCAGAGAGGAATCTAGCGCTGCAAAATTAATAAGTATTATCAGAGGTGTTAAATATAATATATATAACATAAATATAATATATCGTTCAACCTGGTAAAATTAATGTAATAACCAGACATTTAGAACTTACACACCGTGTGTCAAACTTATTCTATTCGAAATACTCAAAACGACTATATACTGTGCTCCTACGTAAATAACTCGATGCTGCAGCCGCCAAATCGAAAACGGCGCAATACCAACACTTGACACCAAGCGGCGTAGTAAACAACGAAGAAATTCGACTCGACTGAACTTTTTCATTTTTTGATCGTTTCCCTCCTAAAGTTAAATAGAGAACACAAAAAATGATAACACGACGCGATTAATACATGTAACAAAAATAAAGCATTTTTGCCCTAGCAGATAACTTTGAGTCGTTCGGGGCTAACATGTTTAAATAAAAAACAATAATTTTAAAACTGTTGTTATAGGCCTAGATATTGTTCATATTCATGACATTAATTTACAGTAATCTCTCGGTTTCGGAAACAATATATCATACCTATTTTACCCTGCGAGACCACATGCGCTAGACAACGCCCCTTTCATCTTATGGAATTTCAGAACTGTTAAATTAACTTTGCCGGTAGGATAAACTAAATAATACCAGGCATATGAAATATTACACGCTTAGCATACGTTCATTCTTTTCTCACGCCTTTAACAAATCACTTGCTGCTCTTTAAAATATGATATTACGATGATGTGTACTTCCATATTTTTGAAAACCTGTTCTTTAATATTAGAGTAAACAAGTAAACGATACTCACAGTTTGAAATGGTTAGTTCCAGTGAGCTTTTAAAAATTAAAATACAGGACTTGGTGTACTAACGTGACTGCAAAGAAGCAGTAGTACGAGGGAAAGTCTAACTGGGCGCTCCTCCCAGCTGGGTGTGGTTTGGATTCCGCCGAAGATGGGAAAAGCGGGGAAGAAGCAACCACCAGGTTTATTCATGTGCTATCGGAAACCCGTCTGACTAGCAAAGGGAATTCGGCAAAGCCTCGATTACTCTCGAAATTAATGTCCACCGTCGGGTGCGTCTCCCACGCCGCCGATTGCATCCCGTGTTAAAGGGGCGTTGAAAATCGTAGGGGCGCAAAACCTTGGCTGAAATCAGATTAAATATCCGCACCGAGACAGAGCGGGTAAATAACTCAGT